CCTCACCTGTCACCTGCCCACATGCACGTTGCAGCAAGGGTCACTAGGTGGTGATCAGGAATGGGTGACTCCGGCTGGTCTTTGTTCTCCTTGACCCAGGGCACTGAAGCCTGCAGTTGGAATCTACTGTCCATGGTTAAGATCAGCTAAGTCAACATTCGTCCAGTCCATTCGTCAAACCTGGGTTTCTCTTCGGTTGTCCAATATTAGACAATGCACTCACACATTAGTCTGTCAGTTTTCTCCTGAAATGACTGTGATCACTGTCTCCCCGTCCACATTAGTTTGTCTGCAGATCCAACTATAGTTTTAGAGAAAGAGCGACTTGCATTTATATGGCACCTATTTGGTGTCCTAAAATGCTTTATGGCCAATTAAGTACTTTTTGATGTTGTTGCAATGTATAGAATGCATCCATAATTTGGACACAACAAGGCCCTTACCCCCTGCCCCAGTAGCAGGATTGATTTAGGTCAAAGGATACATTTTGGCTAGGAGAATTCTCTCACTCTTAAACTTTAGAAAGTGCTGAATGTTTTCATTACCTAAGAGAACATTGACTTAACACCACATCTGAAAATGGCACCTCTGACAGTGCAACATTCTCTCAACATTAAACCGGGAGTGCAGCTTTGACTCAAGTGTCAGGATTGGGATTCAAACCTGTAATATTCAGAAGTGTGAGTATGACCCACTGAGTAATATTGGAAGTGAAAAGTGAGCAGATTTTATTTCTCTATCAGCAACTCCTCCTCACTGCTGCCAACACCACGTGGCAGAGGCAAGAAGATGAGTGTATGATGAATTTAGCTTTCAAACAAAGCAGTATCTCCATATATCTTCCTCACATGGCTATAATCAACCCAGACTCTGGGAACTGGGAGGGGAGGAACTGTGTGTGACTCCTGGTAAACCACCCTCATAAGGTTTACACCTTACTTCTGCTTGTCTGGCAGGATTTCAATTCCAGCCTCTGATTGATTTGAATTAAATTCCTCTGCTAAGACCGACAGTGTGTTTACATGAAACAAGCCAGATAGTGTAACTCACAGCGGAAAACATTAATGTGCAGGAATAGAGCCTGGAGACCAGTGTTCAGGCCAAAGTATGCGCTGTATCAGCCAAGTGCATTTTGTAACCCAACACTGCATTGTCCACGTGAATTTAAACACACAAACCCAATAACAAAATCCCCTGCAGAACTCGTCACTGACAATAAAGAGGACATATATTACAGGGCCAATCAGTTTGGAAATTCATATTGAATTTTATCTTTTAAGGAGAAGTTGCTGATCTCATTTCCTTTTCCTTAAACCAAAAAAAAATCTCCTGATACATGTTTTAGTCAGAACACATTGTTCATGGCATTGGCAAAGCTAAAACCACTTTAAATTTGGACTTGCGCCTCCAGTAATGCTGTCTTGACTTTTACAAACTAAGGCAGTGTGATTTTTAAATGAATATACAAAATTTAGCCAATAACACAGACTCCACACAATATAATACAGTCTGGAGCTGGAGGAACACAGGAGGTCAGGCAGCATCAGAGGAGCAGGAAAGTTGACCTTTCAGGTTTACACCCTTCATCAGGACAGTCCTGGCTGAAAGGTGTAAACCCAAAATGTCGACTTTCCTGCTCCTCTGATGCTGCTTGACCTGCTGGTGTTCCTCCAGCTCCACACTGTATTGACTCTGACTCCAGCATCTGCAGTTCTTGCTATCTCCACACAGTACAAACTTGGGAATGGAATTGTCCCGCGATGGGGAAGGCGGGAAGCATATTTGATTCCATGGCCCAATGGAACAACCATTTAATCAACCATTGTCGCCAAGAGCTGATGATTACGTCCATATCCTGCAGGACGGGAAGAGTTTTATGTCAGTGAAACAAGGTCGATTCAGGCAAATTGTTACTCCACCCTTCACCCCCCCAACAACCACCGCCGCCCCCACCCCCGTCTTTCCTTCACTAACTAATCCAGAACAGCTGCTCACACACATCTCTCCTGAATCACCAGCAGCCTGGTAACTGGGACAGTGAGAGCAAACAAGATGATTTTAAAAGGGCTCCATTGTCTTATGGGATGGAATTATGACATATTGCAATATTGCCCTCACTCTAGCTCCCAGCCCAAATACTCCTCCCTGTATAAATAAAAGAGCCAAGTCTGTATTTTTAGGAACAAAAATTGCTGGAGAAACTCAACAAGTCTGGGAGCAGCTGTGGAGAGAGAGCGAAGTTAACGTTAACATTTCAGTTCTTCTGAAGGGACTGTGGATTTGAAACATTAAACTGCTCTCTTCCATAGATATTGCCAGACCTGCTGAGTTTCTGCAGCAATTTCTGTTTTTGTTTCAATTCTTTGGCATCCATTGTTGTTTGTTTTATTTTATGTTTAGATTGGTACAGACTGCAGTAAACTATAACCAGAATTTCTTTAACATATCAAACATTTCAAGGTGCTTCACGGGATTATAATGACAACAAAGCCACATGTGGTGATGGCTGCACTGGAGATGACAAAAATGGTGATTATGGAGCTAAATTTTAAGGAGCATCTTAAAGTAGAAAAGTGAAGTAGAGAGGCAGAGAAGCATAGGAAGAAAATTCCAGAATTTGTGGACTAGGAAACTGAAGGTACTGCGACCAATTTAGGAGGAAGTAAAATGAGGAACTCAGAGTTTGAAGAGTGCAGATATCTTGGAGGGATGTGGGGCTGAAGGACATTACAGACATAGGGAAGTGCAAGGCCAGGGAAGGGTTTAAAAATATGGTTGAGAATTTTAAAATCAACATATTGCTTGATTAGGAGCTAATGTGGAACAGTGATCCTACAAGTATTAAGGAAATGTGACTTGGTGTGAGTTAAGACATGGGCAGTAGAGTTTTGGATGGTCTCAATTATACAGAGTTCCTAAATGGATTTATTACATAGCCCTATACAGGGCTGACAATTGTTTAAAATTATGGGTTGGAAGTGTAACATTCACAGGATGTTGGGTGTCACTGGCTAGGCCAGCATTTATTACCCAGAGGGCAATTAAGCGTCAGCCACATTGCTCTAGATCTGGGGTCACACTTAGGCCAGACCAGTAGCTTCCTTCTCTAACAGGCATTTGTGAGCCCAATGGGCTTTTTGCAACAGTTAACATCATTAAACTCTTAATTTCAGTTCTTTTTAAAATTGAATTCAAATTCCATCATCTGCTGTGGCGGGATTCAAGAACAAAAACGGAAGTTGCTGGAAAAGCTCAGCAGGCCTGGCAGCATCTGTGAAGAAAAAATCAGAGCTAACGTTTTGGGTCCGGTGACCCTTCCTCAGAACAGAATTCAAACCTGGGTCCCTGGATCCGGAGGATTCATAGTCTCACCATAATACTACTAGGCCATTGCCCCCCTTTGCAGTTGCTAGAAGTAAGCAAGCTGGTTGATTTCCATGACAAGATTTAGTTGCACACATCAGGCATTGAAGCCAACCTTATTCAAATGGCCCGCTTTCAATCTCCCCGGCCTCAACTTTCTCCACCCCTTTCCTGAGGTATTCCCTCTTGCTGAGGTACAATTGCAGAGATGGAAAACATTTAGCCAACTTCAGCAGGATCTTCAACCCAGAGAATATGTCACCACAAGCCCTGTCATGTCTTGACTCATCCCCAATAGGCTCATGCAGGAGACTGAGTTGAGTTGGGTTGAGGTAATAGAGAGCTAGCGGACCAGTGAACTCAGTCACAACAACATGTCAACATTACCCTTGCCACCCCACACTACCACCAGCCTGCAGCCATTTTTCTTGCCCTTTAAACCTGATGTAAGATATGCTGGATGTTCTACCCATGGACCAATACCTTATCAAGTGTGACTCAGGCAAGTCAGGAAGTTATGGAGGTTGAGAGGTGACCTTGTAGAGGTTTACAAAATAATAAGGTGTATAGCTATGGTGAAAGGCAAGTTTTTTTCCCCCTAGGGTGAGGGATTTCAAGACTAGGGGACATAGTTTTAAGGTAAGAGGAGAAAGATTAAAAAAAGACAATTTTTCTGAAGAAGGGTCTAGGCCCGAAACGTCAGCCTTCCTGCTCCTCTGATGCTGCTTGGCCTGCTGTATTCATCCAGCTCTACACCTTGTTATCTCACAATTTTTTGCAGAGTGGTTTGTGTGTGGAATGAACTTCCAGAGGAAGTCATGGGTGCCGGTACAGTTAAAATGTTTAAAAGATATTAGGGTAAGTACATGAATAGGAAAGGTTTGGAGGGATATGGGCCAAGTGGGACTTGTTTGGTTTGGGAACATGGTGAGCATGGACTGGTTGGACTGAAGGGTCTGTTTCCGTGCTGTAGGACTCTATGCGCACACGGTATGCATGAACATGACCAAGGCTGAGGGGGCACTACACAGTCAAAGGTGTGGACGAGAGGTCTAGACTTCCCATCTGCTGCTGAGGTGCGTGTGAAAACATTCCAACAATTCTCTTGCCAAGAGGGGCAGGGGAGTTTCCCATCCAGTCCCGAGACCGTTATTTATCCCGCAAGCAAATCACTAAGAAAACAGATGAGCCTACTGTAATATTAAACACAGAACTGCGGATGCTGGAAATCTGCAATAAAAACAGAAATCTTTGGAAAAACTCAGCAGGTTTGGCAGCATCTGTGGAGAGAGAAACAGAATTAATATTTGAAGTCCAATGACCCATTTTTCAGAACTGGACCCAAAACGTCAACTCTTTTTTTTCTGCTGCCAGACCTTCTGAGTTTCTCCAGCAATTTCTGCTTTTGTTTCAGAATATCCTGCCATTTGTGGGATCTTGCTGCACTTAATTTGGTCGCCACGTTTCCTTAACGGCGACAGTGACTATGCCGGGAAGATAGTTCGCTTTGGGACGTCCCGGGGTGGTGTCAGGCGCTATGCAAACGCAAGGTCTGTCTTTTTAAGACCTTTCTTCACGCCTCCATAAGTTATTTATTAAATCTATTCTTAAAAGTACGAGCACAGCATAGCCCGATACAGAACTTATCTCTCTTTTATTTTTCACATTTTGGTTAGTTTTCTTAAAAAAAATACAGCAGATACAACATAACAACTTAGAAAAGGCCAGATCTCCCCAAATGGAGATAGACTTCAGCATATTTTAAAGTGTCACACTCTGTCTCTTTCTCTCTCTGTAACGCCTTCAACACCAAGCTCTCACTGTATAGTCTGTGGAGTGCAGCAGGATTGGAGCGTTTAGTTCAAAAAAATTCAAAGTTTTTAGTTCGAGGTTTTTCGAAGTGCGAACGAAGGGGTAGAGTGGGAGGGAGCACAGGGGTATCAGAGGCTGTGTCCATGCGCCGTGCAGAAGATTTTCCACCGTGTCTTGTGTTTGCTACCAGCCCCTCTTTGTCGTCTCCCTTTCAGATTGCAGCCTGGTCCGCAGACTGAGTGAAAACCTCTCTCACTCTCTCAGCCTCTGTCTCACTCACTGGCGCTGCATCCGCAAAGTGCCCGGTCCCCTGAGCTTCGAATACCCGCTCTTCCCGTCCTTTTCCTTAACCTGCAAGACAGAAACAAACCGAGCGCTCTCAGTGAACACGAACGAACGAAGAATTTACCAGGCAGTTCACGCATTCGAACGCTGAATGAACAATTTTAGGGTACATTGCATAATCTCTCCCTCTTGCCTTAATAAATCCAAATCCATTTTAAATCGCAGTATAAAATATATCAAATGATATGGTCACTTTAACGATTTTTTCCCCATTAACATATGTAGAATGATAAATGGGTAATATATATTTTAGATACTGATCCCAAATCTTGTACTTCTATAAACTTTCATAACATTTTCAAGATAGAAAATTTAATATGAAAATAACATTTTTTTCTAATTATTTTGAGTTAACAAGGAGTACATTTATGCTTTCACTTAAAGTTTAGCCCTGTCTCTATTTAAAGTCAGACCGTGGTCCACTCCAGAGCTGATCAGGTATCATATTAATGACACGCCGTCTGTAACAGTAGAACTGTAACCAATGTGTAATGTGATACACTCCACATCATTGTTTGTTCTATGTGGGGGTCAGTTAGAGGAAACTCGGCTTCCTGAGAAGTTCCCTGCTTCACCGTCTCTCTCTACACCACGCCCCCCACCCCCTCCACCCCCGGCACACCTGATGTTGCCAGTGTATATTGGTATATTTGTAACAAAAAAATGAAATTGTTGGAGAAACTCAACACATCTGGCTGGATCTGTGCAGAGAGAGAAAGCAGATTTGGCGTTTCGAGTTCAGTTTCTGAGGAAGAGTCACTGAACTCGAAACGTTAACTCTGCTCTGTCTCTCTCCACAGATGATGCCGGACCTGCTGAGGTTTTCCAGCACTTTCTGTTTTGGTTTGAGACTTCTAGCATGGGCCGTTGTTTGTTTTGTTATCCTTGTAACTGGGGGAGACCATTTCTGAAGGCAGTTTGACAGGGAGAGAGGTAAAGTGAAATCCATGAAAAACACATCTCCCAACTTTGAACAAACGAATGAGGTAATTCAATGGCATGCAAAAATAATTCACAAAATAAAAATATACGAATGGGTTAACAGTTAGTGCAGTCACAAACCAGGTTAAATATTGGTGCATTGAGACACAGGAGGTTTAGAAGGGATTTAAGGAAAATGCTTTCATCCAGAGGGTGGTGGAGATCTGGAACTCACTGTATGTGAGGGTGGTAGAGGTAGAAACCCTCACAACATCGAAATATTTCAATGTGCACTTGTGATGCCAAGGCATACAAGGCAATGGACCAAGTGCTGGAAAATGGCATTAGAATAGTTAGTAAGATAACAAGGTGTAGAGCTGGATGAACACAGCAGGCCAAGCAGCATCAGAGGAGCAGGAAAGCTGACGTTTCGGGTCTGGACCCTTCTTCAGAAATTTAGTTAGTTAGTGGTTGCATAGTTAGTGGTTGTTTTTTGACCACCACAGAAATGATGGGCCAATGTCTTTTTTTCTGTGCTGTAGACCTCTATGACTCTGACAGGGCTTAGCTGTTACAATAACATTGTATGCTGACACACCAGCCACTCAACACAATCAGAGCTTACTCTGCAAGACAGGGGGAGTTATTTTTTGTAAATTGGTTTAAAATGAAAGTCAATGATATAACCCAGAGCAGGACAATACAATATTTAAAAATCTGTTTCCATTGGCACATTTATAATGTTATGAATTACAAAAATAAAATTGCTTTAAAAAGAAAATAGTCTTTAAAGTGATGATCCTCTTGGGGAGCCTTCCTTGGGTAGAGAGGCAGCATGAAAAATGTTCTTACCGTGGTACTAAAACAAACAGCACATGTGTAAAAATTATAGGAAAGAGCTATAATGTGTGTAATTGAATTTAGCAGTTTAGGGTGGTGCCATGAACATGAAGTACAATTTTGTTGGGTTTTCAAATGCTGGAAAAATCCATTTAATTTGATACTTCAAATTTACAGCTAACAATTTTTACTGCCATTGTGTAAATAGAGTCAGCAAGTTAAAAAATATAAAAGCTTCAAATCGCTTAATATTTTATTTTGAGGGTGGATATGGATACAAGTTATCATCTGGGACTCAAACACAGCATTTGACCAGCTCTGCAACTTTAAGGAGAGGTGAAATATCTGTTTGAAGTTCCAAGGATCCCGTGGTATAGTGGCGGTATTCCTACTTTAGAGACAGAACGTCCATGTTCAGAATTACAGAATTGTTATGGTCATTTGGCCCATTGCACGTGCATTGGTTCGTTAAAAAAGCATTATTACTTAGTGCCAGTTTCCTGCTTTTTTCCCTTATACCCCTACACATTATTTCTGTCCAAATAATCCAGAGGTCTCTTAAATGCTTCAGTTGAACCGGTCTCCATCACATTTCCAGGCAATGCTCACTCTGTGTAGGGGTTTTTCTTCTACTCTGTCCAGCCCACTCATGATTTTGAAAACCTCAATCAAATCTCCTCTTAGCCCTCTTCTCTCTTTGAAGAACTATCCCCACTTCTTCAGTCTATCCCCATAACTGAAGTTCCTTATCCCTGGAATCATTCTTGTAAACAGTCTTGTTCAAAACCTATCTGTTCTAAATAATGTCTGAACAGGTTATTAAAAAGACTACACTTTAAATTCTGATGAGAGTTATTCATGTCAACCATTAATCTACTAAGCATTTTCAACATTTTGATTTTATTTCAGATTTCCAGCATCTGCAATATCTCACTTTTGTATACTTTATAGGTGATACAGCATTCTTTATGAAATATCTGATTATAAATTAGATGGATCATGTGAACGTAAATCAGTTGGATCGTATAAGCGACCAGATTTACCAAAATATTCATATCTCCAACAGCTGATTACAATCACATGGTCAATCATAATCATGTGCCTATACTGCCAGTTTCACTGGCTATGGTAGATATCTGGACATTTACAGATTTATAGATATTGATATTTATAAGTTGTAGATATTTATAAGAAATATATTTTAGAAAGTTATTAATCACTGTTGGGATCTATTTATCACAAATTTTGTCAATAGATGTTCAACACACAGAAATAAAACATTTTTGAAATAAACATTTAACTTTGTTTGTACTTTACTCTTACTTAGCAATTTAAATTTAATTTTTAAAAATTTTTGGTTATTAATTTTTCTGTTCTATTTCAATATTAAAACATCTTCTGGGTCTAGTCAGTCCTTTTGATTTGGTGATTTCAACATCATTGTTCATGAATAACCTTATATGGGATTGACTAGCAGATGCCTGTGCTAAATGCTCCACCCATTGTTGAGGAATAGACAAAAATTGAGCTCAAGTTCATTCCATTGTCACTGCACTTTACAATTCTTTTCTTTGTTTTTATTTGACACACTGTGAGTTGCTATTTTCTCCCCAGTTCATTGATATCCCTGGTCCACATGGAAGCAGGAAGGTAGGCATCTAACTTTATCTCATCCTTCATGCTCTCACCAAGGGCTTATCCAATGAATAAAAAGAGAAGGCTGGAGTGCGGGCATAGAGATGAACTTGCCTCCAAACATTCCTGTTTTCTTTTGGGATGGGCCAAGTTTCCACTTGGTGTGGAGGTTTTGTTCTTCATTCTTTTCCAGTAAAAGTGAATGTAAATGCATAATGAGATGCTTTATTTTATCACGTTGTCCCTATTCTTTTTCATCAACAGTTTTCTAAAATGCTGGGATTGATTTTCCGCTATGCCACCTTCAGCCTTTATGCAGTTTATATATGCTTACCTTTAATAAGCTTTTAATGCTCTTCAAGAACACCAAAAAGCTCAAACTCTAAAAAATATTCAAACCGCTATTTACACACCAAATAAGTTCTAAACCAGGACTAGTTGACTCTGCAGTTTTATTGACCCTGGATAAATTCCTGAAGCATGTCTCACAAGCAACTTACCGTCGGAGGATGATATTATTAATACATGACAATTGTCTCAAAATGGACTGGAAAAACTGTTAATTTTCGTTGGGCACAGTTCTAATGTGATTCAGATTGAAAATCATTCATATAATTATTTTAATTTTGGAAAGTGTATTCTGAGTTGAATGGGTATTGCTTGGATGGGGTCACATTTTATAAATTTCAATTTAACAAGGTAAATACGCTTGAAATCAATTCTATCTAATTTATAATCCAATTATTATTTTACTTAATGTTACAAATACTTTATCTACAGTGTTGAGACAAAAACCACTGCAACAATTATTAAGTCTTATTATGTTGCTTCTAAGTAAAGGTACAACATTGTGATCTGTTCTGTATCTCTCTCCAAGGTTGCTCGCAAATGTCTGCCACACAAACACATTTTCCTTGACATGTTATATTTGTACTGAATGGAACTATTTCTAGTGTTTATGCAGTGGTTTTCCTGTTGAACAGGTGGACGACATTGGTCTATTATGTCTACAATTAGAGATTGACCCACAAACAGTATTGTGTCTGTACAGCAATGTCTCTGGGGCCTAAAATGCCATTAACAAAATCCTCAAAGATAAATATATATTTTAAAATTGTTCTTAGCATGCTGTGATGAATTAACATTTTCCCTGCCTCTACATTTCACGAAATCAATTTCGTGAGATGATTTGTTAGAGAATTGCAAGAAACGAAGTTTAGTTTTTAAGTAAGAAAATAAACACCAGAGTATGAAAATCAGAAAAGTCAACCCTTATAGCATAAGTTACGTTGTTTCATTTTTATATAAATCTGTGGAATTTGTAATATATATTTCTTTATGTTGTGAAAAAAGTGATCGATTAAATTGGTAAGACATTCGTGGACTCATTAACTTCAAAATTATTTGAGGAATTTTTAAAAAAATTAGGATTTAAGAAGGAATCAATCTCTAATTCTGAGGCTTCACACTCTCGCTTACAGCATATTAAGGATAAGCAGTCAATTAAATGCAAGTAAATAAATTATTACTCGCCTGTAACAATCACCATTTCTGGTAATTTATTGTTGAAAATGAATTACTGTTTATATTTTAATTATCAGTGTTACCAACTAATCTCTTTCTGAAAGTTGAAATCTATTGTAAATGATGGTGAAGGGGTTTAACGTTAGAAAATGGGAGATGGTTATCTTTGTTGTTGATTTGAGCTGGTGCTCTGTGTTGCATGTGATTTCTATCAGCTGCAAATGCCACCACATTTGAATCCCTATTTTGGAAAAGATAATTTGACCAATAGTTGCAAGAAATACTTCTGTGATAGTTTGGAATATATATTCTGGAGTTGACTAAAACAACAAACTGTGGTTTTAAAACTAGGATTCAGACAATTAATTTACTATAAAATGTTATTGCAGGTTCAACATTTAAATGGTCAAGTCCAATTGAAGGTTCTGAACATTTAACCAAGAGTCCATCATTTATTCCCAAAATAATTAAGAGAATAAATTTGGAGTTCATAAAACAAAACATGTGGAAATAATCTCAAAGCAAAAGTAAAATGAAATAAAGCTACTTACTCCAAAATTAATATTAAGTATTAATACCAAAACATGCATTTTAGCAGCAGATACGACAACTTATGTATCAAATTGTCCCACAGCTCACTTCTAAGTTGCAAGCTGTACTTTGGGGTTTGTGCCCAAAAATAGAGGCTGCATGCCAGTTTAACATTGAGGGTGTCCTACACTTTTGGAGGTGCCATCTTTTGGATGAGGCTTTAAATCAAGGCCCTGTTCAGGGGATGTACAAGATCTGTTGGTGTAATTTTGAAGAAAAGAGGACAATTATCCATTAGTCAGTATCTATACCGCAATGAACACAGCACTGAAACAAATTATCCACTTATTTTCACATTTAAGCTTACTGTGCCCAACTAGCCTGGTTGCTGCACTACCTACATCACTACAGTGACCAGGCTTCAAAAGTATTTCATTAGCTGTAAAGCAATTTGAGATACTTTTTGTTTATCACATGCCCTCTATAAATTTGGTCTTTTTTATTTATTTATATCATACCTTTAACATAGGAAGATATCACAAGGTGCTTCAGTAGCAGGTTATGAATCAAAAATTGGCACTGATATAAATTACACCATTACAGTGTAGTCAGTGGGATGTGGGGCTCTTAAAAAAATGATAACAAAAAGAGAGGCAAAGTTGTTTAGGGTCTGAGGCCAAAACGACAACATAAATGCTAAAGTAAAGGGGGTCAGGGATCTCAAGAAAACAAAGATGAATGACCATGGTGTTTTTTGAGAGGGTAAGGCTACAGAAGGTTACTTAAATGTAGTATATGGCAAGAGGGGACTCAATGGATGAACACAGTGATCGGAATTTTAAAGTCATGGTGTTGGACTGGGAAATGCAACAACTAGCACAATAGATCTGATGTTGGGATAAACTTTTTTTGACCAAATATATGGTTACTCCTCTAGAATTGGCATTTATCTTCCTCACACCTCTGTGAAATGAATCAAGATGCTTATCTATGTTAAAGGCGCTGCATAAATGCAAGCTGTTGCTAAGGGCCTCCATATAAAACAATGAGACTACTAGCAGAGCTCTCTGATTAGCTCTGATCCTCACCCCTGAACCTCTGACTGTAAGCTGGCCATTTGAAATACCTTGGGGGAAAAAAAACACAAAGAACTGATACAAATAGATCATTTCGTATCTGTTTGTTAATATATTATCTTTCTAGATGATGTCCTAGCTACCTGAGACATAACAAGAAATCACAAAATGTCAGAAATGAGAGCTCAGATTGAAAGGTAACATCAAAATTGATCCTAGTGCTGTCTTGTAACTGAACCCAAACCCGTGTTTGTTTTCAATAGAGCTGGTCGAAAGGGCGGTGGAATTGGGCTCAAAGTAACTTCCTCTGAATTTTTATTTTCAAAGAGTCGGTGAAAATTTTAATACACATTTGGGAAGGGATGCAAGTCTTATAAGGAAAGTGCAGGGCATGTTTAATTGGACCATCTCAAGAAGAAAAACAACACAAGCATAATGGGCCAAATGGCCTCCATACGCACTGTAGGATTTCAGCCCATGCTGTGCAGTGATACCAATGTCAATGTGTCATTCCAGGCGGCCTGGTTCTCCTGAGTTGTGTGCTCCCGCCACCACAAGAGAAATGCTACCTACCCCTTTCCTCTGGTTGCTCAGGCAGAAGGTGCAGATGGACCTGGGCTGCGAGCTCTCGTACTCATTCTGGCTGCTGTAGACGGTGGCCAGGCACGGCTGACCATCCACACACTCCTCTCCCACCAGCAGGATGTTCCCCAGGTGGGAGATGTAGCTGGACGCCAGGCGGAGGGTCTCGATCTTGGAGAGTTTCCTGTCGGCAGGCTCGGTGGGGATGAGGGTCCTGAGGGCGCTGAAAGCTGTATTCACGCTGTGAGTCCTGTCCCTCTCCCTGGCGTTGGCGGCTTGTCGGTGCTTCACCACCATGGTGCTCTTGGTACAGCCCAGCCTCCTCCGTTTGCGAGAGCCGCCGCAACAGTCCAGGGACTGGTCGGACCCTTCACTCTCATTCGCATCATCGTCGGAGTGAAGACTAATGTCCGGGTAAAAATGCCGGGCAGCGACGGGTCTCAACATGGTGAAAGCCATGGATTCCACCAGCCCCCCCCAGTACGACACACACACATCCAGTCCTCCCCCTCCCCAGCCAACCCGCCCACCCCCTGTCTCCCCGTACTGTCCCCGCACTCTCCCCTCTCCTGACTCTCAGTAACCTCTCAGCTTCTCAATGGGAGTTCTTTACAGGAGACGGCAAACTCTTTAAGAAACAAAAACAAAAGTAACTCCCTCCCGATCCACAGTCTGCAACAGTGCTCCAGGCTTCAGGAACACAACACCCCCCCAGGTCTTATGTCATTCAAATCTGTTGTGATAAAGTCAAAAATCCCTTTATATCCCAGAGGAGGGGCTTGAAGAGACACGCAAGTCGTTCAGAATCCAATAGCAAGGCGCAGTTTATCCCCATCCTCCTGTGAGGGCAATCAATGATTTTATCAATTATCTGTCAAAAGCAATGACTTTTTTTCATAAAGGGACATTAGAAGTGCTTCGAATCGATTAACAACTCTTTCCAAACTGAGAAAGGGACTACTTTAATTGAAAGTTAAATACCTGTATTTTTTAAAAATTAAATTGCTCGGGAATACTAAGAAATTGCATTTTCGCTCTACAGACCCGCTCTCCTTTTCTGTTGCTGACGTTTCTTGCACAGAACGCTGGCCTTTCCCAACCAGCCTCTTCTCATTCCAAGCCTGCAAGGTTTAATCACAAGTGCATATTCCCCCAGCTCCCCGCGTCTATTAAATATTGCAGCTGGGTTTCCGTTCCAGAGTTACCTCGTGTTTTTCTGTAGCCCTCCCTGCGTTATCGAAAACAGATTCCTCAGTTCTCCCTGGCTCTGCTGGTTCCCCTCATAAGATACTGAGGTTTGCAAAGTTCCCGAGGAGGAAACAAAGCGCAGGTAAAAAGAAAATGATTTTTTATTTCCGACCACAGCGATAGTTCATGATCATTGATGATTTTAATTCTGGTGTGTGCGTTTCGACCAACTCTTTTTGAATGCAACATGCATATTAAAGGAACAAATGATTCTACTTAATCCTTCACCACTAAAACAAAACCCAAAGCCGTGAGAAACCCTTTCATCAACTGTTCCATTTCATGCACACCATAGCTCGTTAAATAGTCACCTTATATATATTTTCCTGTGCTTTCGCTGACGCTTCTGTTTCAGCTCTCTACTGGACAGATCAGTTTGAAGGAGGAGGGGGAACGAAATGTAAATATATAGAGGGGCGAACTTCTGTAGTGCTGTCTCTATTTTACTAAGCCAGTGTCCATATCTGCAGTTCATTGTGACCAGTGCTGGTATTACACAGGGGAAGAAACAGCGACAGAATCTCCACGCGGACGCTCAACTACAGACAGGATTTTTTTTTCAGTCAATCCAGACTCGAGCCGCCTGCTCCTTGAGGGAACAATGAGAAACGCCAAGAGAAAGCAATATGCAAACATCGGACTCTTCCCCTTGATGATGATGTGTATGTGCGTGTTTATTTCAAATTGACTTCCCTAAACTTTTCCCCCTTCATTTTAGTGGATTAAGTGATTCCAAAATGCTCAGGGATGCGCAATGATTGCTGACTTCACCAATTTGCTTTAAAGGAATAACAGAAATGGACCGGGAGCTGGTCGTTGTTAATGTTTGTTTTATGCGTTTGGGTTCCAAAAAAGTAACAGTGTAGGCACCAGTGGACAAGTGCCTTAACAGATACAAAGATGCATTAGACGCAAATATGATACAATGAAACACTTATAAACAAGGATAATCAGAAACAACAAACAAGACCAGATACACATGTTCAGATAGATTCTGTGAGCATTTTACTGCTCACTAAGGGAGTCCTATTGTTGTGTTAAAGTGCATTTTTTATTTCACCTATTTTTCTAATCAACCTGTTCGGACACACCTCTGGAGCAGGTGGCATTTGGACCTGGCCTCCCCGTCCAGGGATAGGGGCACTACAACGGCGCCACAAGTATCCTGCGCTGAGAGCTCTGGATGGAGGTGGTTCTGCTTTTCCTTGTTTGCTGGCATTGGTGTGTGTCGGAGGGATTTGCAGGTTGACAGTCAACCTGTTTGGTTTAGTAACGGAGTCACCTTCCTTGGTCGTCCAGGAGTGGGACTTGAACCCCGAGCTTGTGGTGCAGAGGCAGGGACCCTGCCCAGACAAGTACAACCCTAAGCCCCCCCCCCCCCCCCCCCCCCCCCCCCCGGACCCCATCCCCATCCCACCCCCCCCCTTGTGCGGAGAGACACCCACCACAC